TGGCCTCGCCAATTACTTACACAAGTACAGTGCGAATTACGCAGACATGGCTCGGCCATTGACCAATCTTCTCAAAAAGGATGTTGAATGGTGCTAGACTAGCACTGAGCATGATGCTTTTCAAGCAGTCAAGGAGAGTCTCCTACATGCGCCCATATTGGCTTTGCCTGATCCTGAGCGATCTTTCAGTGTCGTCTGTGACGCATCTGACTTTGCCATAGGCAGCGCTCTGTTACAAACAGATAATGATGGGCGGGAACGCGTTATTGCGTTTGAGTCCAGGCAGTTGAAAGCAGCTGAAAAGAACTATCCAGTTCATGACAAAGAGCTACTTGCAATGAAGTATGCTCTCGTCAAATTCAGAGTTCATCTTCTTGGCTCTAAGCCGTTTGTGATCTATACAGATCATGCGTCAATACGCACTGCGACCCAGTCGCCTCACCTCTCCCAGAGAATGGCTCGTTGGCTTTCCTTCTTTGCCGAGTACATCTTCGAGGTGAAGTATAAGCCGGGCAAGCAGAATGCTTTGACTGATGCGTTGTCACGCAGGCCTGACTATGAGCTTGCTCATGTTACGACTATGTCGTCACCGGTCACTGACCTAATCCGCACGGAATATGTCAAGGATGAACATTGTGTAGCCCTGCTACGTGCTCTAGGGAGCGAGGAGCTTAAAGACTCGGACATAAAATTGTCGGCACGGTTACGTGCGAGGTTACATCGATATTCCATCGATCAAGGCCTGTTGTGCTATAGCACGGATGTGGAGGATACCCCTCGTATCGTTGTCCCTCATGATGAGGAGTTGAAGTATCGGATCCTCTATGAGGCACATGATACTGCGTTGAGTGGTCATCTCGGTCGTGAAAAGACCTACGGCTCTGTGAGCCAATGCTATTGGTGGCCCAAACTATACAAATGGGTGAGCACCTATGTGCGTACGTGTGAAACGTGTCAACGGGTGAAACCCTCACCACATGCGGCAGCGCCGCTGGCTAGTTTGCCTATACCCAAAGGGTGTTGGGAGTCCATCAGTATGGACTTCCTGTTCGGTTTACCGAAGGATTCGTATGGAAATACGGGTATTGTGGTCTTTGTTGACCGTTTGAGCAAGATGGCTCATTTAACGGCGGTGCCAGACACCATTGATGGTGAAGGTACAGCGGTGCTGTTTATCGATCGCGTGTTTCGACAACACGGTCTGCCGTTGGCAATTGTCTCTGATAGAGATCCTCGCTTGACTGGGAAGTTTTGGAATTCCATCTTCAAGGTGCTCGGCACACGTTTGGACATGTCCACAGCGGATCATCCGCAGACCGATGGTCAAACGGAGCGCGTTAATCGTGTCATTGGTGGCATCTTGCGCAGTGTTTGCGCTGAAACACCTAAGCGTTGGAGCTCGATGCTCCCTGTCGTTGAGTTTGCGTTGAATAACGCTGTGCATGCCTCCACCGGCTACACCCCGTTCTACGTGAACGGTCTCACACACCCTCGCGTTCCGTTAACGCTACCACTACGTGGTTCAGGGATTGGTGGGGGAGGAGTTGCCGATCGGCTTGCTGATATCAGCCCTGCTACTGTTCAAAAACAGGTAAGCGAGTTTCTCGCAACGCGATTGAATGTCTTACGACATGTGCGTGACGCACTGGCTGATAGCCAAGATAAGCAGAAGGAACAAGCAGATGCCAAAGGCAGAGGTTGTATTGAACGTTATAAGGTCGGAGACCAAGTTCTACTCAATGCTAAAAACCTACCTACAAATGTAGTATCCGCCGTCTTCAAGACGAAGTTGCGCCCGCGCTTCATTGGACCCTTTACGGTCGTCGCAAAGAAGGGACTTGCGTATAAGCTCAACCTTCCGCGCAAACTGCGCACACACCCCGTGTTATACGTTGGCATGCTCTAGCCGTATCGGGATCCGTCCCACGTGAACTTGGAGGCGCTTGCGCCGGGTAGGTTGGCTTTGCCATCGGTTGCTGAATCCGTATCAGGAGGTCAAGCTGAGCCTCCATCCGGGCTTGGCCCAACTCCAACGCCCAAACACGGGCTCGCATTGCGTCGAACGCACTCTGGGTCTGACCCAACGTCTCACGGAGACCACTCAGCTCGAGAAGCACCTTCTCGTGCTCCTCCTTCGGTATACCGACCACCTCCGACGCTGCTCGATGAGCAAGGGAACCGCCAGTTCCATGTGTAACGACTCCTGAAACGACGTCGTCGTCAGGGTCAATACCAGTATCTGGTAAAGTGGCGAGGGTACCCGGAGTCGGAAAACTCGTGGGAATTTGAGGTACCCCTTCGGCAGGATTGCCCATACGCCGTTGATGTTTTTGAACATCGTGGCAGGGGTCATCCTTCGACCGATATCGCTTCCCACCAATAGTGGTGGAAGCAGGTGGGTAGTTTGGTTCCGCTTGACCAACTCCCACTTCCATGGGCACAGCCGGAGCATAGCGGGTGCGAAATCGCAATTGGCCTCTGGCCTTAAGCTTGACATAGTCATACCGAAGCTTTCGTTCGAGACGAAATCTGCCACATTGGCACTTGCTCTGAGAGCTAGCATGCTGCTGAGGTGACGTTTCCGGTGCACCCAGCGCACAAAAGTGTTGTCCTCCTCCTCCGGAGATTCGCCTGCGAATAAGAGGATGGGTATACCCCTCATCGGTGGCACCGGTGCACCCCGTGCTTGCGTGTCAAGTCGCAACTTGTATTGACTTAGAGTCGTCAAGTGGGGTTGCAGGTACCTCTCACGAAGTGCCTGTCGGCTCGCCACTTCATCAGAAGATGTCGGCTCAGCGCCAATGGCCCACGTTGCCAGGGAACGACCTGTCGTTTGGCGTATACGCTCTTCCACATTGAGTGGCGTGAACTGATAGCCACGACGACCCTCAAGGTCTGCAGCAAGCTGCATACGGCGCTGAGCGCTCTCCTCTTGTTGGATTACCAACTCTTGTTGCTCATCGAGCGGGTTGGTGATGATGTGTTCACCTGCATCTGTTGCATGATGCTGCGTTTCCAACGCGGTGGTCTCACTACGCTCGGCAAATGGGTTTGGTGCAGTATGAGGCGATGCATCTTGCACTGGTGAGTTGGACATTGTCCGTTCTTCACCACGGACATCGGTATCACTACCATAGTCCTCCTCCACATTAATGCCGAGGTAAGAAGAGAGAGTCGGGGACTCGGAAGGTAGCGATGCCATGGTGTTTCGTGCTTTGCAAACCGTGAGGTTAGAGCGCACACACACCGTCCTCTTCGAGGAAAAGTTCATTTGACGTTTTGTGGTAACGTCAGTCTGGTGGGGGAGGGTGTAACGGGGTTACACGTCGGCTGGTAGCCGACGATAGGTGTGGTGCACACACGAGAGGGGGGTACCCTATAGGGTAATATTAGAACACAGTGAGCGTATCAATTGTTGAAGACTGGTGTCTGTCATCAATTGATTGCAAGATCTTTTAAGAGGTTATTTAGGGCAGGTTAAATACGTTGTTCTAAGGTGTTCTTTTAGGTTAAATGAAGAAATAAAATTCAGTTCCCATTTTGATCAACATAAGACACGTGCCTTACGAGGCGTCTTTGATCGGGAGGACAGAAGCAACGCCTGTAAAGGTAACTTGTCCTCGAGCACTCTGTGCTGTGATTCTTTTGAATCGTTTGGTCCCTCTGGAACGGGGACCGTAAGCTCTCTGAGCTGTTGACTCTCTGAGTCGGGTTCTCTGAACCACCCTTTAAGCTCTCTGAGCTGTTGACTCTCTGAGTCGGGTTCTCTGAACCACCCTTGTGGCTCTCTGAGCTGTTGACTCTCTGAGTCGGGTTCTTTGAACCAAAGTTGCTCATTGAGCGTAAAGTCATCCTCTGACTTAAGGAGCTGTGTAGCTCCGCTACAGAGACAGTGGTGGAGGCGATGACTACAGTCAACCCTACCCCTCTTCGCTAATTCTCTAGTAGCTAATAACCCCTTGCAAAAATAAAACGTTTCCGGCCGAATGTGGTAACTATTGTTGCACCTCTAAATAGTGCACAATTGCACGTTGATCACGTGACTACCGTACGTACCCCTTCGACCTACTATCCTCTACTACCTATTTTTAATTGCCCAATTGTATTGGCTAAGAGAAGTTCTACTGTACTTTGCTTTCATCTGCAAGCGCACGTAAAAGCTCCGGCAACACATGTCGACAAACGTACGAACGTGCGGCCAATGAGCTCCCAGTCCTGTAATGGACAGTCCACGCAGTGAGTGGAGAAAACATCACTGACCACACCCTTTACCATCGCAGCTGTTAAATGAGCTTCTTGGCCAATTCACGAAAGAGCGATATGACAACGACACCCCGTTACACCGAAGCAGACGTGTCGAACATTAGAACGCACGGCCCACACGTGTGGAAAGAGCGTATGCAACTGAGCGTATGAAATTGAACTGTGTCGTGTCGCGTCGTGGCGAAAGCGTTCGAAGATGGGCAAGACGTCGCTTCTATTTTTTAGCCGCAACGTCGAGACTTTGAACGCTTTCGCCACGACGGCCACATGTCGGCTTCGACGTGTGCATCGTCCTCGTGTTTGGCTGAGCCCGTTCAAACTGCCTCTCGTCGAGCGTTTCCCTCGTACCGCATGACCTGATACGTACCTCGTTGACGGCGCATGTCTGATGTCCCGTTTCTCGTGCTGTGAGTAATTCTGATGAACAGATCCCAGAGATCGTACTGGAGAGCAGCTGCTGGAGACAAACAGGTTACAGTCTCTGTCGACCCACAACTGACTCAAAGCGGTTGTGGCGTCGCAGATACAATGCAGCGAGCAGAGCTGTAGGGGAAGACACCACGAGCCGTCGCTTGGACGTCAGTGCCGTGCAAGCAAAACAGACCGCGGGCAGCAGCAGCGGTGTCGGTCCGCACTCGACCGCTGGCATCCGAATCGTTCATTCTGGAAATTGCCACGCCAACCCCACCACTCCGATTCGGACTGGACCAACTTAACCAACGCAACCTTCACGCATCATGAAGCTGTCGTACGTTCTCGGCTTTGCTGCTATGGCTGCGGCCACGACTGCCACCAGCGCTGCCTCAGCGATGGCGAAGAAAGAATGTGTCGGGAACCTGCGGGCCAGCCGTCGACTGGGTGGCAGCAAAGGGTTTCCTTCTGCAGACGGCGAGGGCCTTGCAGCTCTAAATCCGAACCCCACGGAGAGCACGCTGCAAGAAACTGGGGAGAAAGAGAACCCGAAGGTTGGCCTGACAAAGGGAGGGGGTGACGACAAGAGCGGTGGGGACAAAGAGAAGGAGAACCAGACGACGCAGGAGAACGTGGAGCAGGAGAACCCGAAGGGTGGCCTGGTAAAGGGAGGAGGTGGCGAGAACAGCGATGCGGACAAGGAGAAGGAGAGGAAGGCGAAAGAAGAGGAGAAGGCGAGGAAGGAGAAAGAGAAGAAGGAAAGAGAGGAGGAGAAGGCGAGGAAGGAGAAAGAGAAAAAGGAACAGGAGGAGAAGAAGGAGAAAGAGCGAAAGGCGAAAGAGGAGGAGAAGGCGAGGAAGGAGAAAGAGGAGAAGGCGAGGAAGGAGAAAGAGGAGAAGGCGAGGAAGGAGAAAGAGGAGCAGGCGAGGAAGGAGAAAGAGGAGCAGGCGAAGAAGGCGAAAGAGGAAGAGGCGAAGAAGGCGAAAGAGGAAGAGGCGAAGAAGGCGAAAGAGGAAGAGGCGAAGAAGGCGAAAGAGGAAGAAGCGAAGAAGGCGAAAGAGGAAGAGGCAAAGAAGGCGAAAGAGGAAGAGGCGAAGAAGGCGAAAGAGGAAGAGGCGAAGAAGGCGAAAGAGGAAGAGGCGAGGAAGGCGAAAGCGAAGGAGGGGAACGTGGTGCAGGAGCCACCAAACAATACGACGGAGCAGAGTACGCCGGATAAAGCGGCGACGAAGGGGACGGATAAACAGAATGGGGAGGACGATCCGGAGCAGAGTACACCGGATAAAGTGGCGACGAAGGGGTCGTAGAAACAGAAGGAGGACACTCTGGATCAGGATGGCGCGGGACAGAAACCTCCGCCGCTAGAAAAGCTGGACCTCGAATATTCGTCAGACCGAAAATGTATGTAGCAGAACCCGATGTAGCAACGTGAGCTGCTAGCGCCGCGTAAATCCGTGAGCTGGGGAAGAGGACAGAGGAGGTGTAGAGGAGGACCTGAAAGGAATGGATGAAGAAGTTGTTGTTGGTCAAAGACCTCTGTTTGCACGTTTTGCCGCTCGGTGCATCTCACACACTCTTTCTTTACCGAGTGGGCAATCGCGATGCAGGCTCCGTGTGCATACAAATAGGAGTCGGCAAAGCTTAGCGTCTGGCGTTTGGTGAGATCGGCTATCGTTGTGGTACTTTTTGTGGTGGGTCCTGCGACGTCAGATGGCATTCATCTGCTGGATCCAGGGATCCACTCCTCACGAAAATATGAGTGCCTTCACCAACCATAGCCGCTTCCTATAGTTGTACGTGACTTGCACAGCGATGTACAGAACACACTGAAATTCCTTCTGGGGCAACGAAAAAGATCGATTGCCTGATTTTATGTGCTTGAGCATGACCGAAAGTGCAAGTTCAGAGACGCAAGAAAACTGCGTTAGCGCTTCTCTTGAAAACCCCCAAAGCACAGAGTTGATCACTTACAGTATCATGCGAACAAAAGACTGCTACTATTCTGCACAGTGTCGCGCGTGTAGATAAGGTGTAGCGAGCGAACACGCTAGTGTCTGTGCTGGCCACAAGTCTATACACTCTGTGCAGCACAAGTGGCAGAATTGGCGAATGGGGCGCGAGGCCGTTTACGCTCAAGCCTTTGAGCTGGCGGAAATAAAGCAAACGCTTTGCACGCGCGAGTAGTCGTTGCTTCGCAGTGTTATTTTCCGTTCGACGCTGCTTCGAGTCTCACCGTAGAGCTGCGCAACTATCGCACGTTAGCATTGGAACTAAAGTCAATCTAATGCAGAATACTGCGGCAAGCAAACAGAAATAGTGTGCACTTCCGTCGGCCCCGCCGATGCTAAGTGAAGGCTCGGCACTACTTTCCAGCCGTCTTGAACATGCGAAGGATACGCTCACGTGCAACCTGGCACTCCCGCGCAATGTCGAAGGATCCAGGACCCCCCCCCGCCCAACAGCTTAGCGATGACCATGTGTAGTAGTAGTACTCAGGTCGCTGTATATCACAAAACGTTCACGACCTCGCTTGAGATGCCAGCTTGCTAGAGAATCCTAGAAACATACTGCAAGCTATCACAGGTCCTTTAGGATGTTTTTGCCCTATCTAATCCTTCTTGTTGTTGGTATGTGACGTCGCTCAACCTGCCGTGCTTGTTCGCACTTCACGATACCTTTTCTCCCACGACTGCGACCGGTTGGAAAGCATGTGCCCCCATTCAGTTTTATCCCCCAGACTTCGATCGGCTCCAGCTTGCTACCGCCGAGCCTAACACTTCGGTACTCCAGAGTCCAGCGATGACAGCAGGCCGCCGTTGTCCAACATACTCGGCTAGCGTATGCCTCTGACCCTGTGCTTCAGCAAGGGCAGCGTAAAAATACGAGGCAACGTTGGCGACGGCAGTGACTTGCGTCCCACACCTTTGTCACTGCTTCCATCGACACCTCGACTCGACCCAGCTTCACACAGCTAACTCAAATTGCTGTCAAGAGACTACGCTCAGTCACATAAGCGTGACTGGGCGTAGTCTGCATGCGTCGTCGTCACGAGGACATTGTCTATATACGGTCGTTCTTGACGATCGTGGCAGATTTCCATCGACGCAACGTTAGTTGACGCTTGGGACTCGTTCGAAACCTTGCTAAACTTGCTGCCAGAAACACATGACCTCTCTCGCGAAATGTCCTCACCGTCAGTATCTGCAGACTTCTACTGGGCTCTGTCGCTATGTTTTGCCGGCACCCGCCAGCGTCTTACTTCAGATTGAACCCCTTTCTACCGTAGACAATCTCGGCTGGAGCAGTCGTGACGGTACGATCTGATCCACACACACACTCACTCACTCTCTCGCGTCTTACAGACCACAGCGAAACGCTTGTGCTCGTGTCGATTATATTGACGCCATGAGGTTGTACCCTCAAACACGGAACATTCGCTTGCTCCGAAGTTCCCGAGCTTCGATCTCCGTTTCCTGGTCGCATGTATATATGGTGAGGAGAAGGCCTCGTCAAGTGACGTTCTCGTCCAGAATACGAAAGCATCAGCTTTCCATTGCCGCACATGTTCATGCCGTTCCGGTCGCTGCTCGACTTCGCGCCAGCGGATGGACAGATGCAATACAGAGCGCTGTCTACGCTCGCGCAACTTTGTTTCCTCTTTGTAGCGATGTTGAGGTTGACTTGCAAAGACGTTCTTCACTTGAGGCAGGAGAAACCCGTGATAGAGGCGAGGGACGTTGGCGTTGACGAGGGACGTTAGCACGTCGCTGGCTTAGCAGGAGTCACTGAACTACCGCGTGTAGCGCCGTACCAAAAGAGTCGAATTGCATCAGGAGCAGAAACCTAAGCTCAGTTCTCTACACTTGATACATCTACCGGCGAACGAGTGACGACAGTCAGTGTTGGTGCCAAGCGCTGAGCCTACGAGCTTCTGGCTGTGTGCAGCGTAAATCGTTGATTTAACGACACACTTTGGATGCGTTGGAACGGTAGGCGCACTGGAAGAGCTCCAGTAGACAAGATCGATAGTACTAACAGGGGGTTGCCGTGTTGCCATCCTTCAGACCAGTCGTGGCTCAGGCGAAACGGAATTCGGCACGACGTAGCGGTACAGTAGTGAGCATCGCGAGTGGTTTGCTGGGAATTCACGAAATATGACCACATGTGTAGTATTAGTTCACACATGACACGCAAACTTGCGGGCTGCGATGCCAATGGACGACAATGGTGACAGGACCACTAGCATCGCGCGACAATGGTGACAGGACCACTAGCATCGCGCGACAATGGTTGCCTTTGGCACGTGTTGAGGTGGTTTGTGGCTTTCGTCGGACGGGGCTGGCTTGCTGAAGTAGCGATGCAACTGGCCACACGTGGCTCGAGTGACTCCTCCATTCGGTTCGGTCCAATGCGGTACGGACGCGTCGCTGTCGTGCACCCGGACATGGCACACAACCGTTCATGAACCGAGCGTCCTGATTCGAACGTGACGTGTGATACAGCTACTTCAGAGCATGATTGATTGGTGGACTGCGGGCCTGCAAAGCCTCACGATTTATCCACTGTCGGCTGCGTTCCTACCCCCGCTCTCTGCACACATTCGATTCGGTTCCGTAAACGCTTTCAGAGTGACTCAAATGCGTCTCGTGCTCGTGGTATACGCCCTCACGTTATGCTGCTGCAGTTTCGGTAGAGCGTATGGCATTGTCCCGGTCGCCGAGCAAGAGTCGGGTCCGGAAATCGCGGGGATGAGCACTGGTAACGCGGTGCATTTCCTCAAGGGCAGCGAGAAGGAGATTAAAGCGGAGGCTGAAGACGAAGAGAGGGCACTGAATCCGGACCACATTGTGAAGCTCGAGACAGCGTCCGAAAGGGTCCCTTTTGCTACAAACTTCAAGCAATTTGTGAATAAGCATTTCCAGTTCGGCGATGGGAAGAGTGTTGCCAACGCAGCAAAGGCGGCGACGGGCGATGCGAAGACTGGGACAGACCAAGCGAAGGCTGTGGCAGCTGAGGCTCCAAAGGAGTTCACAAAGCTGGAAGCCTGGAAGATCATCATGAAAGGGCAGGTGAAGCCGCTTACGATCATTGCAGCCATTGCACTAGCTGGAGGTTATGTTGTCTATCTGGTGAAGGGCTAGTGTGTGCTCTGATGTGAGGTATCGTAGGGGCTTGATTCCGCCTCTTGGATGCCCAAGTATAGAGTCTGCTACTTGATGTGGCCTGTTCAACTGCGTGAAATGTATGGTTGCGTGACTACTACACACCCGCGTATCTGTTGAAAGGCGCACAGACATAACTGATGCCGCTTGTACATGTCAATATAGCGACTTAGTGATGTTTTTGATGATGTACAACTTGTTTCATCAGTGCAAAAGTTGACCACACGTCCAAGCAAGCTGCTGGAAACAGCACTAACGGTTTTCTCTGGTATCGTTTGTACCTGCAAAACCGGTATCATCACCACGAGATTCCGGCGCATCGGTGTGCAAATGAAGATTGCTCGCTCCCAACACGTACAAGTTCAGGTTTGCGTCGTGGTGCACTTGACAAAGTCGTGCAGGGTAGTAGCTGACCAGTCAAAGTCTCATTTGCCACCACAAAGTTACCGTTACCTGCCGATCCACATACGCAAAGTCGACGACAGACACAAAGCCAAGCAAACGGTCAATACAAGAAGTTGTTTCGCGATTCAATCAAGTCGACCCATTCTCATGTTAATCCTGGCCAGCGTAGATTACACAGCTATCGACTACTCTATCCTAAGACGTGCGTAAGATTTGGAGCAATTTGCGAGGAGAGAAAAACTGGTGCACACATCACATGCACGAGAGCGATGTAGCGTAGCTATGAGTTACACAAAAGCCCAAACACTCGCGCCGTGATGCGATGTGTAGCCAAAAGCTCATCGTTCTCTTGTATTTGTCCACACGTCTGCAGCTTTATCCAATTTATCGCACCACAATGATCGCACGGACTTACCATAGAGCAAGAAGTACTGCGTTGAACAGTAAGTATGAGGTAAAGATCACAGTAAGCTCCAACAACTATCGCTGATCAGGAAATAGCGATTACAATCGTTCACGTCCTACTCCTCTTACGCACGTGACTCCGTCATGCATGCTCAGAATCGTGACTCGACATAAAATCACTGATAGTAGCCGCGCGTGCTCAAACGCAGCTAAAAGCAGTCATCGCTTGATACGCATCGTCCGCGAAGCACTTGTGCGAGTGCCTGTGGGACACGCGACGACGTCGCTTTCCAATCATGGAGAAGTATACATTTCGGAAGCTCGACTCAATTTTTTCGTTCGCGTACCGACCTCTGTGACGAACACCGTCAACGGGCAGTACTTCACCGTCCACTGCGAATGGAAATACTTCGTGGGATATCGAATCAGGAGCGAACTTGTCTCTGTGATGTCACATTGGTCTGAACATAGCTCAGCGGCCGTACGAGAGTGTCCATGACTGTTCACTAAACAAGAGGTCGAAAGTCTACATGGTAATCCCAAACGTGCTCAGGCACGTACCGATCGATATGCTACATCGGCTTTATCACACAGCTCCCGCATGTTTTCAGTCAAAGCGTTCCAACAACACGGGCAGCACTTTTGGTGTAACCAGAGCCGACGTATGGTATGGACTTCAAAGTCAAGACCGTTGCAATCTTCTGGCAGTACACGGACGACAGGCTCTGGGTAGCACCAATGTGTATACCGAGCACGATCGTGCAAGCCCTCTACATGCGAAACAGACCGTGTGCTCATAGACGCTCGTGGATGCAAATCACATTGACAGCTGCAATCGCACGTAGAGGAACAAGCAGTCAGTGCGTTCGCAACAAAGCGTTGTCTCGTAAGTGAGTAGCAGATCGCACAAGCGGTAGACACGGCATCGACAGGGTCGTTCGTCTACTGCCGCAACCCATCTCCGATGGTCCTATATCGTACCGCCACAGCGGACATTGTATGGCCATTCAGACGCTTGTGCCAGCACTGAGCCGCACGAGTCCTTAGCTCGATCGAGAGGTCGCTCGAGCGCTTGTTGCCACCAGTGTATTCATTCTTTCAGTCCCAGAGCCACTTGCGTACAACATATGTACGTACCCACTCTCTTCGTTGGCCATGTACGGCTTACCACATGCACACACTATTCCTCGTTCGTTCATCGGCCACCGTAGTGCTGCGTCGACCACCATAGCGAGGCACAGACCCATCTACTCAGCCACTGTCAAGAAGCTGTGGGTCACGCACGTTCGGTGCATAACTGCCGCGGCACTGACCGCTTCACTTACGTACGGAACACCACATTGCACATGTGCAGCACATCGACTGCTTTGGTATCTATGACGACAGCTCGTCCTGCGGCTGCCACGACGGACGCGCTCTTCCGATGGATCGAAGAGCGCGAGCGCGAGCACTGCTCGAGCTTTGGCAACGCTTGGGGCCGCGTTCTTGACGCTGGTACAGGTCGCCACTCGCTCACGTGGCTTCTGCGCGGCACCGCTACGCCTGATCGGATCACGGACGTCGTCGCTGTGACGGGGGAAACTCCTTTGGCCAATGACCTCACGGCTGCTTTCGACAAGGAGAGCACGCGCCTAACGGTCCGGGTGGGCAATTGGCAAGACGCCACGTTTCTGGCCAAGGAGCAGACGTTCGACGTCATTATTGCCGGTGAAGTTCATTGGCATCATGCGCTTGGGCATTGAGACCCACTGCAACTGGACACCGATCAAAGTGTCGATGGCACTCATGTCGTGTGCTGCATTGGTGGTGGTGGTGGTGCTTGTGCTCGTGAGTGTAGACTACCTCGTGGGAGCAATGGAAGGCTTTGCGCCCTACTACCAAGACGAGATCTGTGCTCGACTCGAGGAGCTATTGACGCCAGGAGGCAGGATCTATCTGGTGGGACTGCAGCCATTGAGCGAATCTCAAGCGCCAGCAGACGGCAGCAACAACGACCTCGAGCTTCTCGAAACGGGAAAGCTGATCCAGGAGGTGGCACGGACGCGAGACGCGTGCTTGCTGCTTGCCGGGCGTCGCGTGTACCGCGAGTTTCCCATCGAGTGGTCGCAGCGTCAGCTCGAGAAGGCAGGAATGGCCGTCACCGATAGCGTCCGTTTCGTGAATGTGTACACGCGCGCCGGTATCACGCGTCAGCTGGAGGTGGGAAGACGGTACGTACCGCTGCTCAAGGACACTGCACTACGCGACCACTTATTCCAAGCACTCGACCGTCTGGACCAACGGATCGAAGAGAAGTTCGGGTCAGCGAATGCCGCACACGACGAGCAGCGCAAGATACGCTTTGGGTTCGACTATGTCGTAGCTGCTCGCAAGGCGACGATTCCTCGAGCTGGGGCTGGCACGTCGAAAGGGGAACCCGACGTGCAGTAGGGTGGTCCGTGTCCAATCAGAAGAGAGAGACGTTTGCATCTCGTCCAATGAGGCGATCGTACTCGCTGTGTGACACTGTTTTGAGCCCATGTCAGCGTACGAGAAGACGCTGATCCCGCCGCTCAACTTCTCGATGGTGGCCTCGGGCGTCTACCGCTCGGGCTTTCCGAACCGGAAAAACCATGCGTTCCTGCAGCAACTTGGCCTCAAGTCTGTCTTGTATGTGGTCGAGTCGTTGGCGTGCTGCGGTGCTCGACTGACTGTCGGGTTTCCAGCGCGGCACTGACTTGGATTGTGTACTTGCAGATACCTGTGCCATCAGGAGCACCAGCCGGAAAATGTGATCTTTTTCAACAAGCACAACATCAAAGTGTTTCAGTGTCCCATTGACGGCAACAAGGTGAGAAGATGTATCGTTTGCGTGTGAGGAGGCTGGCAAGACTTTGACGCAACTACGCATGCAGGAGCCGTTCATCAGCATTAACCCGGATGCTATGGCGGATGCGCTACGTCATCTACTGGGTACACTGGCAGACTGTGTATGCACTGCATTATGCGCTCTTACTTGCTAAAGCGTGTGGACGATATCTGTGCACGTGTTTGTTCTTTTGCAGACGTGAGGAATCACCCGATTTTGGTGCACTGTACGAAAGGAACGGTGCGTCGTTTGACTACGTGTGTGGGAACTGCTGTTGGCATGACGGGATCAAGCTAACGATGCTGTCGTATGCTTCGGTGCAGCATCGTACAGGCTGTGTGGTCGGGTGCATGCGCAAGATGGAGAACTGGTCGCTAACTTCAATCATCGACGAGTATTGCCGCTTTGCCGGCCCGCGCATGCGTCTGCTCGATCAGCAGTTTATCGAGTTCTTTGCCCCTACGATCGAGTACGACGAGAGACAGAAACCCAAATGGCTTTCCTAAACATGGGCTCAGCACGCTTGTGTCGAGATGGCATAAGGAAATACGCAACCATTTACAACTCCCATGCTTGTACCAGACGGTTGTATTGCATCGAGGGTCTGCCGATTCGCAGCATGAGCTGCCGTACAAGCAACTCAAGCCATCAGCTGTGATTTGCTTCTTCACCCTACAAGTGCCAGTAGTTTGTCGTACCAGATCATTCGTCTCTCTGCAACACACCACGCCCTCCATCCGATGCTAACCACCAACGCCCGACCATCTCCCGCTCACGCAGAGGACTTGGACTTGAAAGCCGAGCCGTCGGAAAACTTGTCCACCCACGCCTGGTTCTCAAGCGGAACACCCGGCCACGACTTTTGAAAATGGTCCTCCGGGTTAAAGCTGGAGGGGTCTTCAATACGCTCCACGATCTTGTGCTTGAACTTTCGAATCAGACCCTGCACAGGCCAGGCAGCTGCATCACCAAGAGCACAAATCGTGTGGCCCTCGATCTGGCGTGAAATCTCTTCCAGCATGGGGATCTCTTCCAGCTCCGCGTCACCCGTCTCCATGCGGGTCAGCACACTCTCCATCCAGCCAGTACCCTCACGACAAGGCGTGCACTGTCCACAACTCTCGTGAGTGTAGAAGTGCGACAACCGACGAATCGCACCCACCATGTCAACGCTTTTGTCGAAGATAGTGACGGCGGCCGTGCCCAGACCGGAGCCACCGCGCTGCTTCAAGTCATCGTAGTCCATCATAATGTCCTGGCAAAGCTCCTCATCCAGCACTGGCACAGATGATCCACCAGGGATACACGCCTGCAGGTTGTCCCACCCGCCACGAACGCCACCACAGTGACGATCAATGAGTTCACGAAGAGGAATGCTCATCTCCTCCTCGACTGTGCACGGGTTGTTGACATGCCCCGAGATGCAGAAAAGCTTCGTGCCGTGGTTGTTCTTGCGTCCGAGACCAGCAAACCACGACCCACCACGACGCAAGATCGTAGGGGACACAGCGACCGTCTCGACGTTTGTCACAGTCGTAGGGCAGCCGTACAAGCCCGTGTTGGCCGGAAAAGGTGGTTTCAGGCGGGGTTTTCCCTGCCGGCCCTCGAGACTCTCGAGCAACCCCGTCTCCTCGCCGCAAATGTACGCGCCAGCTCCACGATGCAAGTACACGTCAAAGTCGTAGCCCGACCCACAGGCGTTGTGGCCGAGGAACCCACGCTCGTACGCTTCGTGGATGGCTTCCTGGAGCACCAGCGCCTCGTTGAAAAACTCACCACGAATGTAAATGTAGGCAGCCCGCGCACGCATAGCAAAGCCGGCCAGGAGACAGCCTTCGACCAGCTTGTGCGGGTCTTTGCGCATGATCTCGCGGTCCTTGCACGTCCCCGGCTCACTCTCGTCGGCGTTCACGACCAGAAACGAGGGACGGCCGTCCGTCTGCTTGGGCATGAACGACCACTTGAGGCCGCTCGGGAACCCCGCACCGCCGCGGCCGCGCAGACCCGAGTCCTTGATCTCCTGCACGATCCACTCGGGTCCCATACAGAGCAAGTCCTTTGTGCGGTACCAGTCCCCGCGACGCAGTGCGCCGTCCACGCGCCACGTGTCTTCGCCATACAAATTCGTAAAGATGCGGTCTTCGTCCTTGAGGCCCCCGTAGACGCGCGCGAGGACAGTTTCCCCGGCAGCCGCTGCTTCAACCACAGCGGTCGCCACTGCGGCGCTCGAGCGGAAGCTGCGCGCGTGCGCGAGGGCTTTGGGCGCCACACGGGACACGACGCTCGGCATTCGGGTCGAGCCAACTTACTGCCACTGGGGAACAAGAACGAATGTACCTGTTCGCTCGCTCGCCCGACCAGGAGTTGCGGACCGTACGAATGTATGCGATTTCGCAGGGAGGACCGGCGCTCGTGTGGTGCACATCAACAGCCACAACGACTTGTCAACATGATGGACGCCGAGGCGCCGCAGGTTCTGAAACGGTGCGCGCTCAAGTGCGCCAGCCACTCAGAAGCAGCTCGTCCATTTGCGAGGCGTGTGCTTGAGAACGACGACGTGCACTGTGTATGGTGAATGGATACGGATCGACTTCTTTATTGTTCACAGTTCGTGGAAAGCGACGTCGATGGAGACGGAAGTGCGTGTCCCGAGATTTCAATCCGGTCGTCTCAATGTGCTTTTCAGCGGAACTCGATCCCGTGAGTGGCAATGGACAGACGGACACGATACCGATCAGCTGCAACCACTTTGTTCGAGTGATATTCGCTGCACAAAAGCATGGTACAAATACACGAGCATCAATTGGCACGTCGCCGCTGAGTGCAGGCTGCAACTGCTGCTGAGGCTTCTTACCAGCTCCGCTGCATAATAGTACACATGGTACTGCTAACCCTTTGACTCAAAGCAGTAATTGGCAGCCGCTTGTACGTCCCCACTCCTCCTCCGTAATGCCTCGGTCGCAAGCTCGCGCGAGAAGCCCATGTCAAGTAGCTGTTGCACACGCTTGGACCTGCGAAAGCGGATCACCAGCGGACGCTTTTGAGCTTTGATCATCTTGAGAGCGCGATCGACCTGGTAGTGTTGAAGCGGGTGGCCATTTGCCTGCAGGATGGTGTCAAAAAGACTGATCTGGCCGCACTTCTCGGCGCCAAACATACCCCCGTTTACCCCACGCGGGAATGTGGTCACGCACAACTCGTTGTCAATCTTTTCCAGGTACATCCCAAGCAGGAGGGAATCCCCAAAGCGCACATCATACTCATCCACTCCGAGGGGAGCGTTCATGGAAATGGAACGAGGGCACATTGCAATGGCCGCTGAGACCGGCGTTATGTTCTGCATGATGGAGTCACGAAGGCTCAGCGCTTTCAATTCAAAGTCGGGATTCGATTCCAACTCTGTCATGCTGTTCACGCCGTGCTTGATCGAGACCAGTGCTTCTTCGTCCATGCTGTGAAGTTCTACGCCAGTCTGCCGCCGCAAAGACGGTCGCTCTATATCGGTAGGTTCTTCCTTGATACACAGCGGCAGCGTTTCCTCCGACTGAGACCCGACCGACAAGCTCTTCGGTGCATTCACATTCAGCGGCCCATGACTTGCAAAAAGGCCTACCGACGAGTCTCGTCTTTGATCTGGAAGCTCGTAGAACAGCAAAACTGGTTGGAATCGTCCCTTCAGACACTCACTGACGACGTCGTCCCATGACCCTATCTCAAGCACTCGCGAGTCGTCAAAAAGCAACCACATCTTGTGCGCAGTGCTGTAGAAGAGAGCCACGTAATGACGCCCATAGTAGCAAACGAAACCACGCAAGCGATATGTTGTACGAAAGCCACCGCCTTTGAAACGAAAGACAGGTCCAGCAGCGTTAAAGCACTTGGCCAAATCCAAGCGATCGCCAATGTTGTTCAACACGCCTTCTACTTGTGCCTTTGTTGCGCTCTGAGTTGCCCAAAGTATTGAGACTGCAAATACCATGGGAAAGCGACGAATGACCCGCTCCTTGCCGAGCTGGCCGCCACATCCCTGTTGCTTGCACTTTGACGCAACGTCTGTCTCCTGCGCTGTGAATCGACGAAACATCTGCTCCATAAATTCGTACTTGCTTGTGTACAAGTCGCTCGCGTACGTCGAGTACACGAGATTCGAGTACAAGTCCCATGGTGAGCTATAGTTGCAACACCCGCACACGTAGCGGTCGTAGATCTGGTGTGAAAAGACCAGATGCGGGATGCTGTTGCTGTCAAAGACTGCTTGACAATTCTCCTCGTCTACGTCAGCACTCACAAGTCGAACCAAAGAACTCACCATCATTGTCGTCTTGTGCGTCTCTTGAATCTCCGTCGATTCCGTTTGCTGATGCATCAAGTTGAGCAGAGCAAGAAGCGTCTCCTCTGCATCGTACATTGCCCCTTCTTGGAAATTCTTGTCTGCCGAGTACAGCACGCTCAACCCTTTTCGAACCGCGCGCGAGTGCAGCACCCCACTAGACGTGTCGTCGTATTCTGTTATCATTGACTTCAGTGCACGCAGCACGTTAGACTCAACGGAACGAGATTCTTCTTTCACTTCCACGTGCAACAAAAAGTGCCGCATGGACGTCAAGTGCCAAAAGCTCTGGATCACCACATTCAAAAAGCAGTTGTTCTCGCCAGAAGCATTCAGTAGTCCTCGGTGCACCGACGCTCCTTTGATCCACAAGTTGGTTTCCTTCTTGTCGTTCGCAGCAGCCGTACTGACAGCATGCGACGGAGAGTCCGACAAAAAATCCTGGTCACTCACCTTTCTTAACGTCAACGACGCCTTCACCGGCCAGCCTTCTTCCCGACTCGTCAACACTCTCAAGTGGTGGATCCAATCACTAGCGGCTGTAGCATTCGGGCCATCAATTTCCAGCACTTTGTCCGCGTTGTCGTCCACTTGCTTGACACTCACGAGAAAAGCAAAGCGCCGACCATCCCACGGCGCCACGCCGAGCGCCTCGTAACTTCGCAACGGCTTGACAAGTCCAGACTGGAGGTCGCCCGTACTGGGCTGGAACTTGAACGTACATAGCTGCAGCGTATCCCGCGTCAAGATGCAGTACCGCATGTGACGTGGCCGCACGTTCACTAGACTGCGGGTCTTGAGGTTGAGCCAGCCGCGGTGCACGATCTCTCCGAACGCAGACTTCAAGGGGCCATTGTCACTGGACAAAGGCGTGGGCTCGAGCGTCGTGGGCTGCATACAAACTGCTCAGGGGTCAGCAGCTTCACGAAGAAATGCAAGTAAGCGCGTTAGACAGCAACAGGCGCAAGACGAGAAGAAGAGCAGAGATATAGACGCTACTGTGTGTACGTTTTCGGCGTGTCGCACAGCGAAGAGAGAGCGAGAGAGGCGACAACGAGGGCGCGAGTACAAACAGACCTCAACGCGCGCGTGCACGGGACTCGTCGCGTTGTCTGCGGCTGTAACTCGCTTTTTTGGGTTGTGGGACCAATGAGCCACGCGCATTGGCTGAAATCGTGTTTTACGTCCCGGTTCTGTACGACAGCTGCGAGAATTCCTCCCAATCGTCTGCTTAGTCGCTCGTCGTTGCGTCGCAGTCATCATTTCTCGCTCGCTCGCTCGAGGCAGTTGGCACAGAAACATCGTCGTCAGTACGTCGACAGGTCGTGGTAGTAAACCAGTGACTCTGAGTGTTGACTCAACAAGACTTCGCCATTCTTCGTACCACGGACAGCGTTGTGACAAGAGAGACCAAACAAGCTGTGATCGAACATGGAGCCATGGAATAGTAGAGCTTTGTTGTCGAGCGAAACAAAGCACATTGGATGGCAGCTGCGCGTCAGCCTGTATCCGATCGTGTTGTCGTCGGCCGACGCATTACTGTGCAAGTCGTCACTGAAATCGATTTGCTGCGTGTTTCTTGCTCCTTGTTACTACTGTCTCGGTCGTTTTGCTTCGTAGGATTACTGTGCTCCTCAGCCTTGTTGCCTCTTTTGATCGCGTCGACCTCATCGGCACACACTTGTCCGAGTCGGCGACAAATACATATCTGCCTTTCGCTTCTGGTCCACGATGCGCGCGATGGACATGAAGCTGGTGGCGCAAAAAGCTTTGCTCCATGTGTGTAAATTCATCGGAAGTTCTGATCTGATTCGTCCGCTACAAGCGCGTCGTTTTGCTCAACTTCTTGTGTTGACATGTGTGAGTTTCTTGAGTACATCGTGGCCAGCGCATGTCAAAGTCGCAAGTCCGCTGTCTCAACTGATAGCAACAATTGCTTTGCAGGCAATTCTCAGGACCCGAAATCGCTACATAATGCCATCCAATCTATGCTGCCAACGTTTAGGGCATTGACACAGCCGTGTTGTCGGTCTGGACACAAGTCACAGGATCTTCTAGGGTGTGATGGAAACATTTGCTACACACTTCCGACACTTGTAAATAAAAATAAACTGTGTCGCACTGGTACAGCGTTGAGCAGTTTGATGGCGTAGCAGACCAATCGCTTGCCCACTAGCAGCCTACTAGGAACTGGTCTGTCACGTCATCCAACTGCTGAACCGCTGCATCAGTGCGACACCGCAGAAATTTCGACTGGATTCCCAAGATTGTAGCGCCTCTGCCACTGATGGGTCAGAGTGAACATTCCGGGCTTGCCAAAATATATCCTGGAAAAATCGTCTCTTTTGGAACGGGTGATTGGTATGTGGCGTTGCGTAGAAACAAATGCAGCGGCCACAATGAGTGAAAGCATCCGTCACTTTTATCGGATCGTGACACTGAGACGACCCACACTGATTGAAGACACGTATTCGAACGCGATCGTGTGGACATATAGTGGTAGCTGACAACGCAGAGCACCGCATATTCGTTCTTTTGTCTCAATGACGTCTTTTTCGGGTCATGCAAAACAACACGAGCAAACGAACTTGGCGTCGTCTTGTGTGCATCAAGTAAATTGACAGACAGTATTTTTACACATTCAATGTCATGGCTACATCACGTAGTGCTAGTCCGGGTGGTCGAAGGCGCTGCGAAAGTGGCAACGTGTCGTTGCTGCCTACATGCACATCTTGTAGCGTCAGCCAATGTTTACTTAGCCCAAAAATTTGTAGCGTGACCTCATCGAGGCGTGATTGCATCCCAGCCAACCAAATCTCATCCGTCCATGAGACATCATGTCTTCATTATCAACTCGGCAAAGCTGGCAGTTCTAGATGAGGTTTGGACCGAAAGTCGCTCGTTTGCAGCACTTCATGTACGTCTTCATATGGTGCATACCATCGCACTACCACAGACCTGACACTTGTCGATGACGTGCATATCGCGCTGCATCAATGGCCCAGAGACAAACTCACGCGTGCATCATTTTTATTGGCTTCTTGTTGTTTCTTCTGCCGGCTGTTCAATGACTCGTTTCTTCCTTTCTCGGAAAACCGTCTACCACCTTCTACGGGTTTAGCTACATTCACTGACTGTTCGTTCACATGGATCGATAGTAGGAAGTGGCTTCACTTTCACGTTTATTTTGGTCATGCTTTCGGTCGTGGACGACGTTTGTGCGACAATCGCGACGGCGGAGAATGTCTTGCTTTTACTATCGCCGTTGCCGTTGTTGGCCGCAACCTGACTGTGCGCACATTACGTCCATCACACCCATTTCTGTGGCCAGTGTGTGCACCACACGAACGACGTCGTCTTTTCGGACGGTTCAGGGCTGACCAGTCAGATACTTAGTCCGAGATCCTTGGCTAGGTCGCTCTAATGTAGCAACTTCACGACTCCCAGGCAAGCAGTCAGTCAGTCAGCTGCTGCACGCGACGAGCAAGCGTCCAAAAGTAACCTTAACACACTCACTCGCCCAGCAGCCAGCCACAGAGCGTCTCCCTCCGCGCAAACGACCGCCTGAAGTCGCTCTATCGATCCACTTCTCGAACCGAGCGAACCCGTTCCAGCTCCAAGTCCTTCGCCGCCACCTCCGCCTCCTTTCCCTCTCTCATGATTGACGCCAAGCAGCTCCACCGCCGGCTGCTCAAGTTCACGCGTGGGGACGTGACCGACGAGGGCGAGGCGCTCGAGGTGCTGCGCGCGCTCGAGAAGTCCGCCGTCACGTACGACGTGCTCAAGGAGACCAAAATGGGGCATACAGTGGGCAAGTTGCGCAAGCACGAGAACGAGAAGATTGCGAGTTTGGCGCGCCTGCTGGTCACGTCGTGGAAACAGGACATGGCGCAGTCGCCTCGCGTTACTTTAGCAGCTCAGCGCAAGCCGCCGTCCAGTAGCAAAGCTCCAGTGGCGGGGAATCGATCGACCGATCAGATCTGTGCAGGCAACAGCAATGGACTCAAGAAGGCACCAAAACCTGAAGCTGCTCGAGAGAGCGCCGTGTCGTTCATTCCTGCGGGGCTGGACAAAGTGCGGGCGACGGTGCGGACGAAACTGAAAGAGATCTTGGAAGCATCGGAAGCGGGCAATCCGGGCCAAGTGGCAGCAGAAGTTGAAGTGGCCATGGCGAGGATGTACCACGTGGGAGCTCCTGGAGAGCAGAAGAAGGAGTACATGGCCAAGTACCGTCAGCTGTCGTTCAATCTGAAGAAGAACGGCGAGCTGCGGCTGAATTTACTGGACGATAGTGTCAGCGGTGACCAGCTGGTCAAGATGACGGCCGAAGAGCTGGCAACGGACGAGAAGCGAGCGCAGATTGAGAAGTTGCGCGACGATGCGTTCCAGGAAGCTCGACTGGACTGGGCCGAAGCGAACCACGAGAAGATCCAGAAACAGACGGGCACGGAAGGCACCAAGGGTCTGTTTACGTGCGGTCGGTGCAAATCGTCCAAGACCAGCAACACGCAGAAGCAGACGCGCAGTGCGGATGAGCCCATGACGGTCTTTGTCATGTGTCATAACTGCGGCAACCGATGGAAATGCTAGTGTAGCGAATGTCGGCCATGCCACATTGTCCCCTATCCGCCTCTTTCGACTCACCCTCTCCTCTCTAGCAAATGTGTTGCTGCTGCTCTAGAGCCCTATTGCGCATGTCTAACAACAACCTCAATGTCGTGATCCGTGTGTACACGGCACAGCTGAATAAGCAAGAAGTGAGACGGAAGCTCTGTCATGCGGGGATGGTGCAGCGCTGAATGCTGTGCCGACTTCGCGGAGCCATTTGTCGCTTGCAAATTCCACGTCTAGTCGACGTTTTTTTTTCTCGTGGCAAGCTCAATAACACATACCCTGTTGACCTCTACTTCGCCACACTACTACGGTCTTCGATCGTGCGTTGCACAATCGTGTCTGGTCGCTTTTCTACATGCATGGAACAATCAGATCGAGTGAGTGGCTACTACGACGAGTGATGGACATTGCCGTCTGACCAGGACCAGTCATTCGTCTGCGAGGAGCTCGACAGTCGGCCGAAAAAAAACCGATTCGAATACGGTACCCTATCTGCCTCGAAACGACCTGCGACGCCCCCCCCGCGCTTTCAACAAAAAGTGGTTACTCGTCCTCCCCAAAACATGTGGTCGCCTTCAACATCAAAAGTCGCAGTGTCGGTCCGGGACCCGCCGCAACAGCGAAACACTGGTGCTCGGGCGTTCAGTGCTTTCCCGTACCGCCTCCTGGCCGTGGCGAAGCCCCCGCGCCCTTCCTGTCATTCGCCAATTGCTGCGCAAGCACGAAGAGCTCTCGGCGCGTCCAGTCGATGTCTCCGACGTCGTCGTCCGCTCCGAGCTGCAACTACGCGACCGACGAGACTCGCCACGGCATCCACGCGCTGAAACGCGCTGCACTGCTGGCTGACTTGACCAAGTGGTGGGAGGATCGCGACGTTGCCCGTGAAGAAGAGAAACGGCCGTTGGTGCCAGCGACGCGAGAGCACCGCAGTACACGAGTGACCCAAGCGACGCGTCAAGATGCAGCTGCTACTACTGGTGGTGGGGCGTTAACACGTCTCGGCTTTGTGAGTGGCAAAACGCTGCTCCGGGTGCTGGAGATTGCAGTCGTGATGGTCATCGTGGCGGTCGAGCTGAAGGCATTGGCCACCAGATCTGCAAACGATGAAGCGCACGACGTACCCACGTTCTCACTGCACCATTCGAGTGGCAAACTCCTGAGCGGTGGCCATCGTCTCCGCTCGTTCCTTCGCCACATGAAAAGCCAACCAGTCGTGCCGAGCGAAGGCGCTACGAAGACGAATCAACCTCTGGGAGTAGATGTCGAGTTGGAACGGGCTATGGACATCTACTGTCGTGGCCCGTTGCTGCATGCCGTCCAGATGGCCAATGTCTTCTCGGACAGTAAGTACTTTGTCGATATGCCGATCAAAGACAACAGCAGTGCGTTTGACATCTTGGTCGATTTCCAGCATCGTGAATTGGCCATGACCGAGTACCGATCGAATATCCAGGACACGCACAAGCAACAATTGCGGCGGTTTCTGGACGACCACTTTGACCCGCCAGGAACGGATCTGTTGCCGATCACCCCTTTCGACTACCAGGGGCAGTTCTACCCGCCTATGGTGGCCGACATTCGAGACGAAGAACTTCGAGATTGGGCCTTTGACTTGCACCGCATTTGGCAGAGTCTTGGACGAATTCGCAATCCACACGTGAAAGGTTCGCTGCTTCCTTCTCGAAAGCTAGACGAGCCAAGTTCGAGCCGGCATGACAATGTGCTGATTGTGCCCGGCGGACGCTTTCGTGAAAGCTACTATTGGGATTCGTACTGGATTGTACAAGGACTTTTGGTCAGCGACATGCCCGTGACGGCACGCGGTATTGTAAACCACCTGTTGGAGTACGTGTCCCAGTTCGGCTTCGTGCCAAATGGAGGGAGAGTTTATTACCTGACGCGGTCCCAGCCGCCTATGCTCTCAGATATGGTGAAATTGGTTGCTGGTCTTCCTGCAAATGGAACGGACATTGAGTACGATGACGAGTACCTTCGTGCGGCGTTGCCAATCCTCGAGCGTGAGTACGACTTTTGGATGCAACATGGGCCTTCTGGGCATGCAGTTGAGTTTACCCGACGGGATGCTACCGATGGGGTAACGGGCGACGTTACATACGTTTTGAATCGCTACACGTCGAGTGCCAATCACCCGCGACCTGAATCGTATCGGGAAGATGTTCTGGTTGCTTCCGAGATATTCGACCGTACCATTCATATGGACGATGGAAACGCTGCAGCTACGGAGCGGCACAAAGACGAGTATTACAATAATGTGATTGCTGCTGCCGAGAGCGGGTGGGACTTCAGCAGCCGCTGGTTGCGGGACCCCTTCGATATGAAGTCGATGGTCACCTCTTCCGTCGTTCCTGTCGACTTGAATTCAATCATGTACCGCGTAGAGCGCAATCTCATGGAATTCAACCAGTACCTTGGCAACGAGAAGCGGGCACAATTTTTCGATCGGGCTGCTGCTCGCCGACTCCGGGCCATTGACGCAATTCTGTGGAGCGAGAAGCACCAGAGTTGGAAAGATTACGACTTGGAGACGGACACTCATTCGGTCATCGTCTCTGTGTCCGACTACACGCCGCTTTGGGCAAAGGCGTTCAATGCCACCAATATCGACCGTCTAAAAACCGTTGTCTCCTCCCTCAAGAACTCGGGACTGCTTCAGGTTGGTGGCATACAAACCACGACCACGTTCTCGGGTCAGCAGTGGGACATGCCCAACGCATGGCCACCGGAGCAGGATATCGTCGTAGAAGGCTTATTGGCAATCAACACCACAGAATCGCACAACTTGGCTCGCGAGTTGACACGAACGTGGACGCAGACGAGTCTGACGGCTTGGAAGCAGACGGGTTTGATGTTTGAAAAGTACAACGCGTCTGAAGTTGGCGGCTTGGGTGCAGGCGGAGAATACTTTCCGCAGTTTGGCTTTGGTTGGACAAACGGAGTGATTTTGAAGTTCCTCACGATCCATCAGAATCTTTTGCATGCAGACTAAAAATCGAGGTGGTATTTGCAGTGACGTAGGCTGTATGTATGCCAGCGATACCGACTAAAAAGACAAAGAAAAATATATGAGAGATATATCAGCAAGATGCTGCACTCGACGTCTTCGCTTTCAACCGTTGCGTTGTTCACCCACTTACGCTGGCTCATATCATAGCGTGCACGAAGCGGTCGAATGGCACGCAACCAGCCACTGCAGCCATTCAACTTCAGTTAGCCGCGGTCGGTGTCGCGGCAGCAAAGACGTATGGCTTCGCATTGCGGAAAGTCGACATGTCCCGAATGGAGTTCGCGTGGAACTTGTATTCGATCAGCGTGTTGGAGTCCAACATGAGGATCTCCTTGAGCTTCTCCCTGCACAAACAAAGCACATTTGATTAGTGCGGTCTTCTTCAACACACGCAACGTGACAATTACAGCTGTGCGCACCCGATGGCAAAGCGCCTACTGTCGTCCGAGTTGTCAGCATTCCAGACGGACAGCATGTCCTCCTTTGAGCGAATGGCCATTGCAATACCCACAACATCAAGTTCCTCGAACGCCTCGCCGATTGCGGCAAAGACCAGATCCTGCCACATCTTCCCGAGCACGTTCGCTTTCTTTTTGATCTTGAGGATCCAGCAGCCACCCTGCGGGAACGCCTCCCACATAGGAGCGCAGTTGGGTTGATCACGAAACAGGTACAGGTTCACATCGCGGCTCAGTTGCGAAGGACGCTTTACGTGGATGTAGTGGCTGCGCAAATTGACCACAGTTAGCACATCTAGCTCGCTCTTGTCTATCTCACTCTCATTGCAGTGCTACCGCACCGCCAAAAGCCTTCGACCGAACCGAACGTGGCAATTTTCTGCAAGTTTGACTGGTACGTTCTGTACGACACAACTGTCAGGCCTCTAGACACAGCCTAGCAACAATGCGAAGCCTCATTTGTAATTGCACGCACCCAACATCAGTTTTCTTGGGCATCTTCTTGTCGTACCTGCATGGACGAAGGATACCGAGAATAAATAATTACATGTACATCACACATCGACATGCTCGTCAGTAGTGTGCACCAGTCAACTGCTTCTCCAAAGTCAATTGCACTGCGTACCAGAGCGACCATTTCGTCTGCAACGGGTGCTCCTCTTCTTCTCCTCTCTCAATGACGACGGGTGTCGCCTTCGCCACTTCTTTGATCGCAGCTGTTGGTGTCATAGGCAAAGACATTCGTGTCGAGTACAGTGAGAAAGAGTTACCGGTGAGGGTTGCAGCAGCTACTGGTCTGCGAGCTATCGCATGATGCTACAAGCGGCAGCAAGAAGCAGCAGCTTGTAGAGCCAGCGCAAAGACCGACGCCGCACCACGTACGATCCTCACCAGCCATTTTGTCCTGACAAGTGAATGTGAAAGTAAAAGTTCGCGTGCGCACGTATTTAGAAAGCGTTTGGTCATTTATGTGTGCTGTCGATGAAATTATCCTTTCCGATGTTCGAGTTAGGTTTCGTTGCATTATTCTATCCAGACGCGACGGATCAAATTGTTGTGCCAAGCGGCCAATCCTTCGATTGCAACGACTTTTTGGGGGGCTTCCTATCGAGCAAATGTTGTTGTGAATGAGTCGTAGTGGGAAATTGCACGAAGAAACTATTGTAAGCTACAAACAATAGAGTAGGGTCGTCCTTATTTAATATGGCTCGGACCGCCAAACTTTGATTGAATAAGGAAATTATTGAATAGCAGAATTAGGGAGGATAGGGTTGAAGCGAAGGGTGCTACACGGGAGAGGCTAAATACATCAAGCATTATTGCTAAAAGCGCCAGCGCCTATCCATTAGACTTCATGTTTATAGACTCCAGTGGTATCACATTCAGGCCACGTCAATTCGAATGTTACAGGATAAGCTAAGTAGAAATGCACCTGCAACATAGCCACGTCAATTCAAAAAGAAATCCTCCGTTGTCTAATGCATGATGATGAGCCCTTCATCCACCTCCACTACTGCTGCTGCTGCCACTGCTACGGTCGTTGATGCTGGTACTAATTCTGTCGTCGCTGACAATCAGGCTACGTTCCAAATTAATGCTGGCCCTATATCTGCCGCCGCTGATCTCTCATGGATCGGTGAAGAAGCTCCAACGGTCGGGCCTTTTGACAGTCAAAAGACGGCTGTAGAGGCTCTGAGGCAGTACACCGTACGCGAAGGCTTTGATATTAATGTATCCAGCAGCTGTTCGATTGGTCCCAAGCGCAGTTTTCTCACATGTTCGCAAAGAAACATTTTAGGAGATCCCACAGTCGGCACACGTCAATGCGAGATCGCGGGACTAAAAGGTATGCTGTTCAGACGAGCTCGTGATCATGCATGACAAGTACGCCCCAGAAGAAGGTGCCTGGTCAACGCTTTGTGTGAACAACTACCACATTGGTCACTCCCGTTGTATCAGCAAACCATGCTCTCATCGCTACCGGCCGCGCGACGTTCGACGAGAGAAATTAGAGATATAAAGTCCAAGGTCGTCCGGATGCATCAAGATAGAGCTGCTCCTCGGGTATATGTGCGTGTTAAAATCATACACATCAGGTCATTATCTGTTATTTTGCTTGTGTGTAATTTATATAGGTTGTTGTTCAATAGATTTAAAAGGCTAGTGTCCTTATAAATGCGAAGGATGTCCACAATATCGTTCCGAAGGCATACAGAAAGGAACTTGGTGAAAACCACACATGGATGCTCTGCTGCAGCAGATGAAGGACCAGGATATTTTATTCACGGTTGCAGTGTAAAGCGGCAGGGTCGTTATTGACTACCTTATTCTATCATTTATTTGAATAAGTGTGGCCTGGCTATGTTTCAGATGCATTTCTACTTCGCTTAACCTGTAATATTCGAATTGACGTGGCGTGGCTGCGTCACCATTGTTGCCATACAAACATTAAGTCTAAGGGTAGGCGCTGGTGTATTTAGCAATAATGCCCGGTGTATTTATCATCTACCGTGCTACACGTGTTCACCCTTAACATGGCCGATGATGGCCTTACCCTCACAGACACCCTTCGCAAGGCGATCTGAATGGAGAAGCAGAGACGTCCAGGCTTCACCCAGAAGGCTCTGGGTCGGTGAATGCTGGAGGAGTATGGAGTCACGGTCACCCAAGGGCCAATCAGCAACGTCCTGAAGCGTTCTGCAGACCTGCCAGGTCCAGCCATGAGCGATGCAGTCCTCCATTGCAAGCGACAGCGTGCGGGTTCGTATAAGCTGGTGGAGACGGCGCTTCCCCGGTGAATTATTGATTATCAGGGTGTTGTCAACATCAGCGGACACCTGATCCAGGAAAAAGCGGCATCGTTCATGAAGACGCTGTTGTTAGCCGTCAAGGATTAGGATGCACTTACATTCTCGATCGGTTCGTTGCAGGAATTTAGAATCGCCACGGCATCCGTATGCACCGTCGCTTTGGCAAAATCGGATGTGTCGGCGTCAAAGCACTGGAGGAACGCCAGCCTCCCGGAAATTCGCAATCAATTAAATCAGTGCAGCACCGCCGATATCTACGACATCGATGAGACCGGCCTGTTTTAACGACAGCACGCCGATTTATCGCTTTCGACACACTAGCAGGGGTGTCAGAAGCAGAGCAAAGAGGGGATGACAATGACCATCTGCAGCAGCGCAGACGGATACGACAAGTTTCCGTTGTGGCTCATCGAAACGTTCTTAAACCCTTGCTGTTTCAAAAACGTAGACTTCAGAAGCCTTGAACTTTCCTATCACGCCAACAAGAACGCGTGGATGACTCGCAACGTCTTCAGACTATGGCTGGAAGCCTTCGCCGAACACGTTGCCGGTCGCAAGATCATTCTGATCGGCGACAACTGCTCCGCGCACATTAAGGAGGAGAATCTGGAAGACGTTGGGAGTACTCTGTAGAATACGATGCCGTTGTATTTGCCGCCTAATGCGACCAGCAAGATCCAGCCCTGCGACCAGCAAGATTTATCCCAGCGACGCTGGAATTATACGCAACTACAAAGCGTATAACCGCATACACTTCAACCTCCAGGTTTTTAATCGTCTTGAGAACAATTAGCCGGACGCAGCAAAAATCAACGTCTTAAAGGCGATTCAGCTGACGCATGCTGTATGGACTCTAGATGTGCAGCCTGTGTGCATCCGAAATTGCTTAACGCACTGCAAACTGTGCACCTCCTACATGGACAACGCTGCAAACGCCAACGTGGACGTCCTGCAGGCAGTCGTTGCGAACCTCCAGAGACAAGTTTAAAAACTGTATCGCAACCCGATGTCCGTCGACTTTCTGCGCAACAATCCCGACGAAGAGCAGGTGAGCTACACTCCGACAGAGGCAGATATTCTCGAGAGCATTCGATTTCCGGAGTTAGCACGTAGCAGCTACAGCGAGGGGGACGATAGCGTGGCCGCACCGCCCGCTTCTACTCGGAATGCTGTACCAATGCTTGCAGAGCTCAAGACTTCCTGGTTGCTGCAGGAGACTGGAGAGGAGTTCTTAAAGATAATTTAAAGATGCAAGACCAGGTGGGAAATTTTCAGCAAAAATCCCTTGAGCAACAAACTCTGGTTAATTTTTTGTAATGGCCCCCGGCAGTAGTTTAATATTCGTATGGCGAAAAAATTCTATGGCATGAATAATAAAAATTAGGGGGTTAACATATGGCCTGGTCCCATCATGGGACTTGACATTTAGTATAACTAAGGGTGTTTGTTAACATAAAAATATTAAATACGGAGACTCTACTGTATACCGAGATAAAATCGACAAATGGATCGAAAAGAATGCACCGCTTGATCGAAACACGAGATTAGTACACCAAATCATCGAACGACAATACACAACGAGATGTGTAAAATAAAAATAATGTACCCAATAAGTAGAAGAGTAAAAAGTAACTCATAGTAAATATGCAGTAGACAGCTATAAACTATACAGAATGGACCAAGAAGCACCCGAGAATAAGAAATGCACCTTGAGATGGAGAAAATATAAAGTGCACCACTGATGTAAAATACTCAATCGAGTGTGCAAATACCTGGGATCATGTGGGTAAGTCTCGAAACTGTTTATGCTATCTTAGATGGTGTCGTAGTAAATAAAAAAAACGAGCAGTTACCGTAACGTAAGGGTGCCGGATCAATTTTGAGTGTCTATTTGAGGCACAAGTCCTCACGATGTATTTGTTGAAAAACCAATACCCTCGCCACAGGATGCATAATCTCTATATAGAGAGCGTCATAATTTAGTATTCTAACAACTGAGAGCGATCTTATTAAGAGCGTGTAGCATAGTGATGTATCAGCATATTGTATCTCTTATTCAATGCGGGCCAAGAGGGTCGAGATGCTATACTTGTGTGCATCACGTCCTATATTGTAGACAAAATATTTTGTCTATCTTCGCAGCATCCACTCTACATTATTGATATCAATACCTACATCACTGCCACCATCAACAGCTTCTCATTTGTGACAACCACAGATACCATCAGCATTGCGCATTCTGTCCGTATTGTGCATTCATACGCGTGAACACCTGCAACATCACCCAAGAATCAAATTTATTCTTTGAACAATGTTTGCGCTAGCTACCTTTACCCATTGTCCTCTTATGCTGCCATTTACGCATTCCAACTATCGATTGCATTAGTGAAAACGACAAGCTTGACACTACACCGTCTCTTCCATTTAAACAAGACGATACTGCCACATTTTTGCGTTTTCAGACAACAGGATATGATACAGAGATACTACTACGTGGCGTATTCGATAGAACGACTAATAAAACTGTCGGGTAGCAATTGACGCGACAATGTATCTTGTATAATGATGATCCTTCACGAATACACGTGAGAACATTTTGGCCGTAAAACAACAAAAGCGTGAGCAGAATATACCTGCGATTTACACGATTCTATGCATTTGTATCTAAATTCTGAAAGAACAAGTCGGAGTGCACGGACTTTTTCTTGTTGTGGAGCAATACCCTACATTCGTTAATAAATTTTGGTCTTTATTCTTCTTCATTTCAGCAAATGTACCACGGAATCAAAGCACACAACAATGTAAAAACAAGAAATACCCTACATAACAATACATAGGAAAGAAAAGCAGCAAACAATTACGAGGATTGCGTTTCGCTACAAGGTCACATAATTAAACACGAAGTGAATATGTAAAGTTTAAATGCAATAA